GAAAGAGTCTTGATGTTTGATTCTTGGAGGAAAAGTAAACTCATTATTTCTAATAAAGACATGCATTTAACACTATAACATTTTCATTGCAACACAAAGAATAAATCAAAAGATGCATATAAACAGGAAGCAGTAAAAACACTAGTTACAGCAAAATACAACTTAAAATATGCATGATGATGGGCTAATTTGACTCTACAGCAATTCTTTTCAACCTTTTTAGGTTTGAGGCACCCCTCAAAAAGATGGCAGCTCTTTGCTTTCACTTGTTATTTGACTACAGGAACAATTATTTCTGTTGTAAAGACCTCAGAAAGACCACAACAGATCAGAATATATCTGATAATACGGATTCCCATTTGAAATCTCTGTTTTTGTAAAACATGTAGGCTAGCGCAGCTGACAGCACTAATATAGGCCAGCACCCTTAAAGTTTCTTACAACACTCTGATTGAGAATCACTGTCCTACAGAATAAAAATGCACTTCACAATACCCAACTTCCATTAATAAATATGTTTGATTTCATTGGAAACTTTAATTGTGAGTAAATAACTTAAAGTTATCAGTTCAGCATTTTTTCAGTGCACTGTAGATACAGTTTATGGTTTAGGATTTAAATTATCTCAAGAATGAATGGACAGGCACTCCATTTACTTTGTATGTCTAAATAAATACACATATTTCCCACTCCTTATTTTCCTTACTAAGTTCAAACCTTATTACTGTTTCCACTGTTCCACATACCCCATAGCAGAACACCACCAGGTGGTTGAGTTGGTTTTATGGGGAAATTTTGTTTCATCATATAAATATTTCAGCAGTGCAATCTTTCATACTTTTTAGCTATATACATTCAAAAAAATATATTATGTGTATTCTCTCACACATGCCAAACTGTAATCAAAACACTGAATTTAGCAGCTACTCTGAAAGTATATTGTCAAAGAATAATAAAGATGCATTTGTAGCAGAAAGCCCTTTTCCTCTTGCCTGCAGTTGCTCTCCCCTCTTTGGATATGTTTTTCCTCTTCTACCTTTTCTTCCTTCCTCTTTCACTTTAAGATAAGGAATTGTGTTTTAAAATGTGTATGTGTGCATTTTATATCTCCCCTTGTATTTTGGGATTTTTATCTATTTGTATGCTTATATTTTATACTCCTCACCTTTCAACTTTCAACTATATATGTGTTTAGTAACAATGTTAACAAGGGCAGGAGTCAAACTGCCACTTCCCTGTATCAGGCTGGCCCCTGAAAGAGAGAGTGAATCAGTGATTGAATGTGTAACACGGTAGCAGGCAGCAATTAACACCTGGGAAATTGCAGATCAACCAAGGGAAGAAATCAATAGAAGACAATGTAGCAACCGGGACATCTCTAAACCTCACTGATCAAGGGCTAGAAGCCCTGGCCTGAGTTAATCAATGCCAGGGACCAACTTTTGGGCTGAATATCTCCAGATCGACCGCTCCCAGAGCCCTATTCAAAATTCACCAACGGACTCCCAAACCTGCATGTACATGCGGTGGACAACCCCTGGGGCTGACAGATGCCATCCAGTAGCCACCGAGGGGGAAAGTCCCACGAGGGTCAATGACCCCTGGATTGGGCAAACCTGAAAACTGGGGAGTCACAAAAGTCTGCCAAGAACAGATAAAAAGCAGTGAAAAGTGACCCCCAGGGACGCCCTCTTGATCTCCAATTTGACCAGCACCCGACCTGTCTAGCCAGAAGGACCAACCGGCTACCCCCTTCTGGAAGATGATACCACGCTGAAAGAAGCCTCGATGGCAGACTCCAGCGCTTGTAGGATAGGTATACCTGACTCTTGTAGCTTGCTAGTGTGTGTGTGTGTGGACCAACCCCAAGGTTTATGATTTAACTTCATTACAGTGTTTCAATCCGCCTAATAAACCAGAAGAGAGAGAGAGAGAGTGTGTGTGTATGTGTGTGTGTGGACCAGCCCCAAGGTTTATGATTTAACTTCATTACAGTGTTTCAATCCGCCTAATAAACCAGAATTTTAAGGATCCCGAGTTGGACATTTGTAGCCAACACATTAACAATGGAATGGAAAATACTCAGCGCCCATTATTCTAAGGTCCTTAACGGTTTGGCAGTTGTATTCATCAATTTAACAACAGAAATAATGTAATAATTTATAAAATGTTTAGAATGCTTAACATTAAGAAGTACCTAGTTTCTGGATCTAAAGAATCCATCACCTTTTTATCAGCCAACAGCTGTTTCAAACTTTGACAAAGTTCAACATCTGTGTTTAACCTAGAAATAGAAAGAGAGAAATTATCAGGTATTAATGACAGTTATTGACATTTCAGTCTTTTAGTATTACTAACTTAAAAGGCAGAATTTAAACTTTTCCTGAAATACATTAGATGAAGCCATGGCTTGTTTTCTAATCACAAACGATGTAAAACCGATAAAATGTGCGTAAGTAGTTATGCATGGCTATAGATCTTTATTTTTAAAAGACAAGTAATTGTAGCAAATAGGAAAAGTTTAAGAATAGCATTTCTTTGCAACAAAATCTGACATGTACAACACAAAAGTACAAAGACCTAGTTTCTAATATCAATTCATTTCACTATAGAAAGTAATTTAATTACTTTGTGCCTTTGTGTGTCCATCTGTAAAATGGACATAATATTTATCACACCTCTCTCACAGATATCACACAGCCCAACTAAGGTCTGTGTGTGGCAGGTTCTATATAAGCAAAGTCTTACTTTTGTTAGTCAAAAATTAGTTATCCAAGGCATGCTGCAAGAGGCATGTGCGGGAATAAAAAAATGTTTCCTGCACTGCAAATTTGCAGTGGAGGAACAAAATTGGACCCCTGGATATAATACCCTGGGGGAAAAATACACATCAGGGCACAATCCCAGACTGTGTCCTGAGACAACCGGAGGCTCAGTCCGCCACAGAGACACTCTGGTAGCCTGCCAGAGCATCTCTGTGATTGGCCCTTTCCCCGGTCCTGAAGCATGCTGCCCGCCCCTGTGGGGCAGGCAGTGGTGCAAGCTGCAGGGACCTTGACCCGGCTTCTTCTAGGTAAGTAGGGTGTG